GTGGCCAACATGACAAAACCTCGTATCTACTAAAAATACAAAAATTAGCTGGGCATGGTAGTGCACACCTGTAGTCCCAGCTGAGCTTAAGAGGCTGAGGCAGGAGAATCACTTGACCCTCGGGAGACAGAGGTTGCAGTGAGCCGATCACGCCACTGCACTCCAGCCTGGGCAACAGAGCAAGACTCCATCTCAAAAAAAAAATAAAATAAAAAAAGTCATTCCCTCTCCACACCCTAAGTTGTAGGAGCAATTTAAGCTCCTATCAGGTAAAGCGGAAATGCCATTAGCTAACACTGCTGAGTCAGTATTTTCTGAGAGGGTAGAAGTTCTAGAAGTTCTTCTCCTTTATCAGAAGAACACAAAATACTGTTTCTATCCAGGAAGCAATGTATTAAGCAATGGATAAATTTATACCAGAGATGAACAAGAAAACTTTAAAAATAAAGAGTTAAGGCTCAGATGAAGGGAGTGAAAGCCAAGGGGTGTTCTGAAGGATGGAGTGGTCACTGGAGGGTCTGTGTGTTTGCTCCCTGAAGCTTAGGTCTGAGTCCACTGGAGACTTCAGGGAAACAATTTTTATTAAAGCAGGGGGAGCAGAATGGAGCAGAAGATGAGGAAGAGACAGTGATGATATATCTCTGTAAAGCTTTATGGCTTCCACCATCTTTTTACTTGCATCATCTTGAGCTTTAAAATTGTCTTGTCAAGTCATACGGGGAATATGGTCTTAACCTAATTTTGCAGATTAAGTGACTTCTAGGAGGTAACTTGTCCAGGCCACCCAGTCCTTTGAAGTCTTACAACCCTGCTACCTGGGGTTTCATCCAGTTTGCCTGCCTCGTTGCCTCCTAGGGAACAAGGGAGCTGAGTTAGATCCTCTGAATCCTGGTGGCATGGTGGCAGATACAGCAATGATCATGACTCCAATCAGACATTCCTGACACGGCTGTGGCCCAAGGCCTTGTCAATGTCCCCGGGGAAAATTCCCTCGCCATGATGGGAAAAGTCTCACAACTGTCAGAAAGCATTTGTCCATTGTATTTCTTAGTGTGAGAGAGTAAGCTTACGTAATAAATAACTTATTTTTTTTCTTTTGAGACAGCGTCTCACTCTCTTGCCTAGGCTGGAGTGCAATGGCACAATCTCGGCTCACTACAACTTCTGCTTCCCTGGTTCAAGTGATTCTCCTGCCTCAGCTTCCCACGTAGCTAGGACTACAGGTGCATGCCACCATGCCTGGCTAATTTTTTGTATTTTTAGTAGAGATGGGGTTTCACCATGTTAGCCAGGACGGTCTTGAGCTCCTGACCCCGTGATCCGCCGGCCCTCAGCTGGGATTACAGGGGTGAGCCACTGCACCCCTTTTTTTTTTGAGACAGTCTTGCTGTCACCCAGACTGGAATGCAATGTTGTAATCTCAGATCACTGCAACCTTCACCTCCCAGGTTTGAGTGATTCTCGTGCCTCAGCCTCCTGAGTAACTGGGATCACAGGTGTGCACCATCACGCCCAGCTAATTTTTTTTTTTTTTTTTTTTTTTTTTGAGACAGGGTTTCGCTCTTGTTACCCAGGCTGGAGTGCAATGGCGCGATCTTGGCTCACCGCAACCTCCGCCTCCTGGGTTCAAGCAATTCTCCTGCCTCAGCCTCCTAAGTAGCTGGGATTACAGGCACACGCCACCACGCCCAGCTAGTTTTTTGTATTTTTAGTAGAGACGGGGTTTCACCATGTTGACCAGGATGGTCTCGATCTCTCGACCTCGTGATCCACCCGCCTCGGCCTCCCAAAGTGCTGGGATTACAGGCTTGAGCCACCGCGCCAGGCTAACGCCCAGCTAATTTTTGTATTTTTTTTTCTTTATTTATTGCATTTTAGGTTTTGGGGTACATGTGAAGAACATGCAAGATTGTTGCATACGTACACACATGGCAGTGTGATTTGCTGCCTTCCTCCCCATCACCTATATCTGGCATTTCTCCCCATGCTATCTCTCCCCACCTCCCGACCCTCTGCTGTCCCTCCCCTATTTCCTCCCAACAGACCCCAGTGTGTGATGCTCCCCTCCCTGTGTCCATGTGTTCTCACTGTTCAACACCCACCTATGAGTGAGAACATGCGGTGTTTGATTTCTGTTCTTGTGTCAGTTTGCTGAGAATGATGGTTTCCAGGTTCATCCATGTCCCTACAAAGGACACGAACTCATCGTTTTTGATGGCTGCATGGTATTCCATGGTGTACATGTGCCACATTTTCCCTGTCCAGTCTATCATTGATGGGCATTTGGGTGGGTTCCAGGCCTTTGCTATTGTAAACAGTGCTGCAGTGAACATTCGTGTGCATGTGTCCTTATAGTAGAACGATTTATAATCCTTTGGATATATACCCAGTAATGGGATTGCTGGTTCAAATGGAATTTCTATTTTTAGGTCCTTGAGGAATCGCCACACTGTCTTCCACAATGGTTGAACTAATTTACACTCTCACCAACAGTGTAAAAGTGTTCCTATTTCTCCACATCCTCTCCAGCATAATTTTTGTATTTTTTTGGCCAGGTTGGTCTTGAACTCTTGGGCTGAAGTGATCTGCCCACCTCGGCCTCCCAAAGTGCTGGCATTACAGGTATGAGGCACTGCGCCTGGCCTCAATAAATAACTTTAAAGATCCCTCATCCTTGCCTTTCCAAAAAAATCAGAAAAAAAAAATCTGGCCAAATCTACATTCCTTACTTTTCAGAAGAGAGGCTTCCAAGCAAACAGCAGTGTGTGTGCACATTATACCTATTTTTGCATCAACTTACATTACAAGCAATAAATTTTTTAAATAAAAGATTTTATTTCAGATAAAATTAATATTTCCATAATTAGGATACATACCTAATTAGCAAACACACATTCTTTTATTTATTTATTTATTTATTTATTTATTTATTTTTGAGACAGAGTTTCACTCTTGTTACCCAGGCTGGAGTGCAATGGCACGATCTCAGCTCACCGCAACCTCCGCCTCCTGGGTTCAGGAAATTCTCCTGCCTCAGCCTCCTGAGTAGCTGGGATTACAGGCACGTGCCACCATGCCCAGCTGATTTTTTGTATTTTTAGTAGAGACGGGGTTTCACCATGTTGACCAGGATGGTCTCGATCTCTTGACCTCGTGATCCACCCGCCTTGGCCGCCCAAAGTGCTGGGATTACAGGCGTGAGCCACCGCGCCCGGCCTCAAACACGCATTCTTGAGTCCATTATTTAATTTTTTTTTTTTTTTTTTTAGATGAAGTCTTGCTCTGTTGCCCAGGCTGGAGTGCAATGTCAAGATCTTGGCTCACCACAACCTCTGCCTTCCAGATTCAAGTGATTCTCCTGCCTCAGCCTCCCGAGTTGCTGGGATTACAGGCATGCACCACCACGTCCAGCTAATTTTGTATTTTTAGTAGAGACAGGGTTTCTCCATGTTGGTCAGGCTGGTCTTGAACTCCCGACCTCAGGTGAGTCCCCCGCCTCGACCTCCCAAAGCGCTGGGATTACAGGCGTGAGCCACTGCGCCTGGTCAAATGTAAAATTTTCTTTCCAGCATTTTACTACCATAAGGATTCCAGACTTCCAACATTTGCTAAAATCTTGAACTTGTCAGAAGACTTCTCTCTGGCCTTTCCCCTCATTATTTTAGGGATTAAAACATCTTTTTCGACCTGTCTGAGATGCTGCTCCAAAACTTGTGGTGTCTTCCCGTTGTTTGTAGTATAAAAATCAAACTCTTTGAAACGGTTTACAGGACATTTCATGATTCACAACTGAAACTCCTCCACAGCCATGGCACACTCTCCTCTTTGATCTCAATTCTTCTTTCCTGCGGTCTCTGCTTAAGCCACTGTTTTTCAAATTTCACACGAGCAAGCCATTAGCGCTGTTAAATTAATCTGCGGGGCCGGGTTCGGTGGCTCAAGCCTGTAATCCCAGCACTTTGGGAGGCCGAGGCGGGTGGATCACGAGGTCGAGAGATCGAGACCATCCTGGTCAACATGGTGAAACCCCGTCTCTACTAAAAATACAAAAAAAAATTAGCTGGGCATGGTGGCACGTGCCTGTAATCCGAGCTACTCAGGAGGCTGAGGCAAGAGAATTGCTTGAACCCAGGAGGCGGAGGTTGCGGTGAGCCGAGATCGCGCCATTGCACTCCAGCCCGGGTAACAAGAGCGAAACTCTGTCTCAAAAAGAAAAAAAAAATAATAATAATCTGCGGGTTGAGTGCCATCTAGGCGGGCGGAGAAACAATTAAAGAACTCTTCTAATGAGCTTCTGGCGCACAACAAAACCACGTAGTCTCGAAATTTTACTTCCTCCGCAGTCCCCCATTGTCTTTTATGCTACCCCGCCTTCCATAGCCCCCTTGGCTCCCAGGCCACAATCTCACAACCCTCCGAGCCCAACGGGGTCCGCCAGCGCTGGACTGTAATACTACGCGCCACCAGCAGATGCCGCGGCCCCAACACTCCACAGAGCCAACTTTCAAAATTACCACCCAGCCGGCCGGCAGCCATTTAGTGCTTGCTGTATACTTGCCCAGCACTACGCAGAGTGCTTCGGGTCAACCCTGAATTAGTTGGCCCAACTGAGAAATGCGGCCATCGTGAGGGTTAAATTGGTAAAATGGTCCACAGTGCTTTGAACAATGACCGGCTGGTGGTGTGAAATTATTACCAGGCCGAGACCAGTCTGGAGCGGCGGCCTCGCTCCTGCCTCGTACTGTCTCGCACTGGAGGGGTCCGGCCCCAGACCTTGCCTTCCAGCCAGTTGGAGCCTTTGCCCTTTCCCCTGTCGCCTGCCACTAAGCTGCTGCTAGGAACCCCGGCTGGAATTTAGCTCCCCTCCAGCAAAGTGGTGGGGGCGGGCCCGGGTCGTGGAGGCCACAACACCTGCTTCCTGCAGGAACTTCTAGAAGGCAGGCAGCCCGGAAAATGGTACGGTGGGGCGCGAGGGACCGCGCCCTACAGCGTAAACTCACCATAAAGTTTCCTCCTTTGCCCTCCGGCCCGGCCCCAGGGCTGGAACGCGTTTCTCGCGCCTGGCACAACCGTGAGGAGGGCGGGTTTGCGGGGCCTCTTGGCCGTAGCTGGGGCTGCACCTGCCAGGAGTGCGCAAAGACGCAGGGCCGAGCTCCCCAAGCCCGAGGCGGGCGGCGGCGTGGGAGCGGCCTCGGAGGGCAGGGCGTCCCCGCAACCGGCGCGCACCAGTGATCGCGCCCCAGCCCGCACGTGGCGCTCCGGCCCCCGCTGTAGGCGCACGCGCGCAGGGAGGCGCCACGTGCTGGGGCCTCACGCTCGGGGAGGCTGTGCTCCGCCGGGGCGCGCGGTCCCACAGGCAGGGAACCTGGCCCCGCGACCCTCCCGCCGCGGGCCACCAGCTCCCCGCGCAGTCGCGTCCCGCGCCCGGGCTCCTGGCTCCCGGGCTGGCACCGCGAGGCGGCGCCCAGGGCCGCTGAGGGGCGGGGCCGCCCGCATTGTTCCTCCCCGAGCGGCGGGCCCTCCCCTTCCCCCAGCCCCGGGCGGGGCGCGGGGCCGCCAAAGCCGCGGAACGTGGGCTCGCGCGCCCCGCCTTTGTCTCCCGGGCGCGAGCCGCCGTAGCCCCGTGCCCGCCGCTCGCTGCGGATCCGTTTTGTGCCGCGGCGCGGGGGCACCGGGACGCGGGCCGGGGGGTGTGGAGTCGGCGGGCGCAGCCTCAGCATGGACGTGACGGTCTCGGAGCTCCTGGAGCTCTTCCTGCAGAGCCCGCTGGTGACCTGGGTGAGTGCGCCTGGCTCCCCGCCCCTTTGTTGGTGCACTGGCTCCTCTCTCGCCTGGCGGGGGGCGCCACAGACCCGACCCGGCCGGGGCCCCGGGTGGCTCTGGGACGCGGGGGACGCAGCAAGTGGCTCCCCGCCGGGTCGGGGCCGAGTCCTGGAGTCTGGAGCTTTCTAACTCTGGAGCCTGCGCCCCCGTTGTGCGTCCGGCGCGGGACCCCGCCGCGCTTTCGACCGGGCCAGGAGCCGGGCGGGTGGGTACACCTGTTCCCCGCCGGGGCGCTAGGCTGGCGGCCTCGGGGCGGCCCGGGTCCCAGTGGTCACTCCTGTCCCCGGGCTTAGCCACTCCCGAAAAGGACCCCATTCTTCCCAACCAAATCTCTTGTAGTTTCTGAAACCCTGAAACCAGCCGGTGGATGGCGGTGACGGGTGGGGAATGGGGGGCGCCGAGTGGGAACGTGAACAGACTGGGATGGGCGCATTGATTTACAATGGATTTGAGACGTGAGACATTTATTGAAAAGTCCTTTTTTTTTTTTTTCCGCTTTGGAATGCTGGAGAAAAGTGGCCAGGAAGTTTTCCTCTTCCCGTCTCGTGTCTGTTGCCTGGCGCGGGGAGGGGAGAGAGGCCCTGGGAGAAGGCCGGGCTCGGTGCCTGCTGAAGGGTGGGGTGGGCGTGGGTGACCCCTTTCTGCTCACACGGGCCTGGTCCGCCTATGCCTGGGAGAGGTTTGGGCCGTTTGTGCGCATGGGGTGACTTCCTGCGTTTCTCTCCTCGTTTTCCTCCCCGCAGGTGAAAACTTTTGGCCCATTCGGAAGCGGCAACCAGGACAACCTGACTATGTACATGGATCTAGTGGACGGCATCTTTTTGAACCAAATCATGCTGCAAATGTAAGTTACCTTCTTCGCGGAGGAAGGAAATAATGGTGCATGAGAAAGTTTCAGAGTAGAAATGGAGAGTAAGGTTTCATGGTTGGGTGGGTGGAGGGTGGGGGGGGGGTCGCTGAAGGTGGAGACACATTCGTAGGTGTTTGAAGAACTCCAGGACGGTGGGTTGGGCAGTTCGTTTGGTGAAGGGAATTTGGAATTGAATGACTGTCATTTACCTGGTGTAGAGAGTGCAATTGACTTCAAACTCAAGGACTTAATTGTGGTTTGAGCGATGAAATGAAAAAGTCCCCTTTTGGAGGGCAAGGAGCTGTAACGGAGAGTGTCTGGTTACAGGAAGTGTCGGGGTGGGCCAGGCATCCGAGGGTGACTATAAAGTTTCATTTTAGATTAGGTCGCTTGAGTTTCTGAGCTCCTTTACATTTCATCTTCCTTTTGCAGTTGTCCCAGAGCAAGTGCAATTAAGTCCCCAGTATATGGACTGAGTTTAAAGTCACAGCGTTCGGAGGGGCCCAGGGAGTGAGTTAGAGGTCATGGTGCTGTTCGTTTGGAAGCATGCAGCCTAAACAGGGTCTTGGTAGAAGTCAGCTTTGCCAGCGACTACATCCGACCACATCCTTTCCTGTTGCTGAGTTCTGCACAGCCTGTCTGATTGACAGCTTGCCACAGCGTAGGTGTTGGCTCCAACCTTTGCATTCTGTTTTTAACTCAGAACCTGCAGGGAACTGAGTGTCAGTATGATTCACAGGCACTTGAAGCAAAATGAAGCATCCTCATGTTCTCTGTGGATCAGCCTCGTGTGCTCACCTATTCACCTACAGCGGAGCACGTTGTCATACTGGAGCATAAATCCATTAGCTAATGAGAAATCAGCTTCGTTTGTGGCTCACACAGGCAGAGGAGCAGTTTGCTTTGGCATATCCAGAAAGTGGCCTAAATAAATTGCCTTAAATGTGCTGTTTAAAAAAAAAAAATTCAAGAACCTTGCTCCTTTTGTTTTAATAGGTCACTTGATGTCACGCTGCTTAATGTTTTGTTTTTTAAAGGTTCACAGCTATGGGTGTAGGAAAAAAGTCACTACCAATTTTACCAACCTTCAGTGTTTGATTAGATTGAACAACATAAACCTGTTGCCAGCTTTGGCAGCACTTCTTAGCTAACTTGGTTGAAACTGAGTTTTCCAGGGGCTGTCTCGTGGCATATTCCAGCTCTGGCCACTCTTCCCTCATTCTGTTAGACTCTGAAAATTACTGGATTCCATTGGTGCAGTGACTGGTGAAACTTCAACCTGTCCTTCCCCAAGCCCAAGACTGTTTAATTAAAAAAACCAGCAGTGTCCCCAGTCTTTTCATTCAGCTCCTACACCCAGGCAGAGGGGGTAACAAAAGCACTGGGACTGTTTCTCTTTCTTCCCTGACCTTTGGAATTCCTGAAGCGTTTCCCACTTGCTTGTAAATCAGGAAAGCCTGTTGGACCATTCCTTTGAGAAATGCCAGCTCATCACTTGTTCGCATTTGGGCATTTGGCCCGTAGCTAAATTCAGGGGAGGGACTTCTCCCCTTCCCTGGGCAATTTGAGATGTTCTCTCTGTGATACGCAGGGGTAATCATTCCAGAAGTGGGAACTGGTAAATTGTAGCTCATAAGACTTAAAGAAGTGCTCCTGGGTCCCTCTGGATGGCTTGGGTGCAGAGGAACGGGCCATGTGGAGGCCGAATGGCTGGCTTTCCAGAATGAGGAAAGAGAAGAGAGCGTTGGATGGGCGTGGTTTCCTGCATGGGTGATCAGAATACCGCAGTTCCAGGTGATAGTAGTCAGAACAGTGTTTTTGCATCTGGAAGCAGTGAGGACTGACTGGAAAGGACCCAGGGGGACCTTTTCAGAGTAGCTGAAATGTCCTGTAGAGTGACTGGAGTATGTTTCATTTTCCAAAACTCCCCGAATTGTAACTTGATGCATTTCACGCTTTGTAAAATTACCTCAGTTAAAAAATAAAGGAAAGAACCCTGGCCCGGGTCGGATAGCCAGCTTGGATTCAAACCCTCAGTCTTCCTCTTACCAGCAGCGTGACACTGGGCACATCACTCAGTGCCTCAGTTTCCTCATCTGTAAAATGTGACATAAAGTACCTTCCTTAAGAGATGGTTGTGAGGACAGAATGAAACCAGGTGTTAACATTTAGCTATTTGCCTATTGTAGGTGCCGTCTTAATCCGGAAAGGATTTGAGGCACCAAGTAGAAGTTCTTTTTTATTTTTTGTTCTGGCCTGCGTTTGCCCCACGTTCTTAGATCCTGGGATTACCCCACAGTTCTCAGCGCTTAGCCCTCTGTCAGTGAGGTCTCGGGCAACGTTGGACTCTGGGACCCCAGTCCTGGCCTCGCATTTAGACTGTACTGCACTTGAGCCTGTTTTCACTTCTACCAAATGGCGACACTAGCCAGCAGGTCAGGGGTGAGGCTATTTTGCCTCATCTCCCATGCCAGGAGCTCCCGGACTGCTATTTGCCTATTTTGATTCCTTTGTCCCAAGCTGGTAGGAGCTGAGGAAATGGCATTGAGCAGTACTGCTAACAGCTCAGATAAGAGGCTGTTACCTAACACCTCGGGGCGGCGTGGAGGTTGGCTGGGGGTCACGTGACTGTACCTGGCCATTGTCTCTGGCAACCTGAGAAGGCTGTTCGTAGTCTCTTGGCTCTGGGCCTCCTAGTGACGTCAGCACCTGGAGGCAGGGAAGCCCTGCAGGTTCAGCTTTCTGGGGAGGCCCCGGGCTAGAATTCGTGAATGAAAGTGAGGCATTGGGTGGCCTGGAGGGAGAGGCCTGGGAACGTCTGCTTAGTAGCCCCTCTGCCCACACGGGGTCTCTAGTACCTACCAGCACCCAGGAGAAAACCAGGTTTGCTCTGGTTAACGTTGGACACATTTTTCATTCTCTCACGGGAAAATTATTTAAAAGCTTTAACCCTAGCATCAGGCAGACAAGTTCAAATCCCCACTCTGCCACTTGCCACTTCCTAGTGTTATTATGTTGGACAAATGACTGAAACTCTCTCTCTCTCTTTTTTTTTTTTTTTTTTTTTTGAGATGGAGTCTCAGTTGCTCAGTTTGGAGCATAGTGGTGCTATCTTGGCTCACTGCAGTCTCCACCTCCCAGGTTCAAGCGGTTCTCCTGCCTCAGCCTCTTAAGTAGCTGGGATTACAGGTGTGCAGCACCATGTCTGGCTAATTTTTGTATTTTTAGTAGAGATGGGTTTTCCTATGTTGGTCAGGCTGGTCTCAAACTCCTGACCTCGTGATCCACCTGCCTCAACCTCCCAAAGTGTTGGGATTACAGGCGTGAGCCACCGCACCAGCCCCTGACTGAAACTCTCTCAGCCTCAGTTTGCTGATCTGTAATAAGGCGATGGTGTTTTACCAATTTGGGGGAGGTTTAACTAAAATTATGTAGATAGACAAAATCCAACACGTCTGTCATTGTGCAGATGAGGCCTAGATCTGAGTTGGTGTGTGCCTGTGTGTGTATGTATGTATGTGTACCCATGCCCTAACACTGTACATCTGTACTTGTGAGGATAAACTGTCCACTTTGATGCAGTGGCTGAAGTTGGAACTTGGTACTAGGGCTAACAGCTTGTGCCCTTTAAGTTCAACTGTATTTGTTCAGGCTTGTTTGTGACCCCTGGTGCTAGCTGCAAAATTCAGGATACTGTGTTAATTATTCATAGGGGAGAAGCATGCTTAGGGAAATGGGAGAGTTCCTTCGCCTCCCTAAAAGCATTTGAAGAGTAACTTTTCCCCCAATGCACACGAAGGAGGTTTATGCTCCCATTTTGCAGATGTAGAAGCTTAGGATAAAAGGGCAGATTTTACTTGTTGGTTGAATGAATTTGTATTGGTGCCAAAATGTTGGGAAAAAATGATTTTTACTTATGAACTTCAGTAATTTCCATCTTTTGGCTGCAGTATATGATGCACGGGGCTTTGAGTCCTTACAAAGTACGCAAACAATTTATGTTCATCTTAGGAGAGTAGGAACATATACAGATGAGAAAAATAAAAG